AGATCAGGTAAATGACTGAAATGCTATTATCAGGAACTTGCTGTTAACGAGGAATTTAAGAGGTTTGAATAAGACTGGAGTAATATGCCCTCGCTTTCCCTGGTAAAGACGCAGACTGCAGGACCGGGGCGTTTGCGTCGGCGATTCACAAACACTGCACGAAACAGGTGATGTTAGCAAGCTAAGCAGCTAATGTTGGCAGGAAAGCTAAAAAAGACAGGCTCTTGTTAAAGGAGAGAAATGTTGCTGTTTTACCTAGTACAAGATCAATGATTGTATATATACACACAGTATATACATTTACTAGCATTGGGCCTCAGTTATCAAGCCGGATACGAAACAGATTTACGTGTACATCATTCATAGGCGCATTTACACAAGAAATTTGGTATTCATGAAAATCCTGTAAATTCAGAAAAACGCTCATATCCTACTCGTGCTCCTGCGTGTGTAAATTTACTCATAAGAAGACTAATTAATATAAACCTCGACTTGATCATTGACTTGATATTTATCATAAGGAAGAAAATTGGGGGAGATAACAAGGTCAGCTGAACTTGTAAACACGATAGAACACTGCGCAGATGTAAATTATAATGTAAGTTTGTCTTATTTCCCCATTCACTAACATGGGAATGGGCGGGGTTAAATACTGTATTGTAGCCAACCACTAGAGGGCCTCAGAGACATTTTAGTATCACGTGTTACTGCATCCACCCTTACAGACACGCAGATGTGTTCTTATTCTCATAACACTTTTGTAACACTTGAGGGACCTCGATAACGACCTTGATAATAGTTTCTGAAACATCTAAACCTTTCAAAAATGCAGATGCATGACATTGTAAGCTAGCTCACCTGCTCCAGCTCACCAGCTAGCTTCTTATTGTCCTCCACCAGAAGTCCCCTTTCCCGCTCATACTTCTGTTTGCACTCCGCCTCAAACTCCTCACGCTCACTTTGGCTAATAAACACACAACACACACACACACACACACACACACACACCACACACACACAAGTCTACATTACAATCATCATCAACACAGTCACTGATTCTCTCATACTTCAATGTTTTCTACTCGTTATAATCACTGTTTCAAGTAATCACTGTAAGTTTTTAGTAAAAAAAAAAACAAAACAAAACAAAACACATTTTATACTTTCTATAGAAAGGAAAACACAGAAATGCCAAGTAAGGCAATGAGGATCTTGTATTAAAACACTAGAGTTACAGGATAGGATTGAGCCCACAGCTATTTATCTAGTGCTCACAGAGGGTGGTAAAACAAGTTCTCCTTCACCTCTCCTAACAGCCAGAGGTGGTGTATAACACCTGAGGAAGGCCTTGTGCGCGTGCACATGCATGCCAAGATATTATTATACAGCATTACTTTAAAACACTAATGCACACTATAGCATCCGCTCGAATGAAAATGTATTTATTATTTTTAATCCCTTGCATAGTCTACCGCTCCACACGTATCACTTGCAGGGTTGTTGTTGTTGTTGTTTTTTTTTTTTACATTTCAGAGATTTCATTTCATTTTGATTCTATTTGAACCCTTGTTCCCAAAGTGGGGCTTTTGAAACGGCTGGAAGAGCACACTCTGTGCCACATCGCATAATTAAATCAGCTCTCAGTGAATGCTGAAGTCAATGCCTTGCCAAGTAACAAAATAGTCATTTTGCCCTGTCTCGAGAAGGTTGTTCCCTCTTGCGTGCTACGCAACAGCAGACCGCACAACATTTTTAACATCCCTCAAAACATCCCTCTTGTGGTAGGGGCTCATAAAGATGCTCACTGTGACGTCACTGTGACATCGGCCGCGTCTCCTGGTTGCAAAAACCTAGCAGGAGACTATCGTGATTTTTTTTTTTTTTTGATAGCAAGCCAGAATTTGTTTTCGAAAATGTCGTGCTGTGCTGTTGGGTGACAGAATCAGAGAAAGTGCTCATAAACACATTCGTTTTTACCGCATACTACCGAATCAGACACCTTTCCAAGCAGGTTGCGGTTACAGGCACAGTTAGGCGGGATAATTCTTTCCATCTTTGCAGCAAATATTTCAAGTAGCTAACTATCATATCAGTGAACTAACTACGAATGTAACAGGCTTAGCTTGCTCGTTAGCTACAAAGCCTAATTTACATTAGCTAGGAAACTAGCTATTAACTGTACCTAGCTAGGTCATGTTCTTACTGAGGAGTTGCCTGTAACACACATGTTCAGCTAGCTAATTTTGTTCAGCTTATAAATAAATTTATGACATCTGTTTGGGCAGCACCTCGACTTCCAGTGCCTCAATGTCGTCAATGTCGTAATCATAAAACGTTACGTCTTGAACGTGCCCACAAACATCAAGTATGTTACGCTCATCAGAGTTTCTGTGAGATATGTATATATATATATATATATATAAATGTCCTGTCATTGTAGGCTAGACCACTGCTTAGCATTTAGCCACTGACCAGACACCAAGAAATGAAAATCATATGTTACACCTCTTTAGCCGAATAGCACACCCTGGGTTTTAGTGCTAATCCATAACAATAAGTGGATAACATTTTAGCTGTCAACCCCATTCCTAAATAAAATTCCTGATAGATTCTTTAGTCAGATTATAACCAAGTAGCGTCAGGTTGCTAGGCTACTCAGGTCTTTTCACAACCAGGTAGTGCACGTGTCTCTTTTTGTTTACAAACGCTGAAGTATGCTAACTGAGAGAGTTTAGTTTAGAGTAAATTAGAGTGTTGTGTTGGTGGCCAAATGACTCTGTAATTATCTTTTGGTTGAATCCAGGTTTCCTGCCCAAGATCATATCACCTGTCTGTGTGAATCAGTGGAGAGGGGAGACTGCAGGGTTAGGGTTAGGATTCGTTACGGTTCCTTTCTGTCCCTGATACATGCCTTGAAGATTTATTTGCACCAGATGGTATGACAGTGGTGTTTATTGCAAACACTGCATCATATGTCTCTATCTCTATCTGATGTCTCTATCTGACCCTCTTGTGTATCTAGGCATGTGAGCGTTTGTACACAGTGTGTTATTCACTCATTTTACTCCGCTCCTAGTGGTTACACAGCTTCATAGAATCACTGATCCTCCAAAATCTCATCTTTAGAAAACAGTGTAAGCTAAGCTAAAATCAGCTAAAGTCACTACACACCTATCCAATTTACCTCATCACTGGACGACTAAAAAAGAGAAAGTTCGAATGAAGATTACTCTCAAACTGCAGAGAAACACAGAGAATAATAGGCAAAGAAGAACAGAATCCAGTCTATCCACTCACGAACGTACTTTTCTCGCCGTGTCTTCTCCAGCTTGTCTTTGAGCATAAGGATCTCCTTTTGCAGGGTGAGGTGCTGGGCTTCAGCATCATTCAACTCTTTCCTGTGGCTCTTGAGCTCAGCGCTGTGCTGCGTCTCCCTGCGACACAGCTCCTCCTCATGCTGCACACTCGTCTTTTCCAGCTCAGCTCGCAGCCACGCCACCTCCTGCTGCTGCTGCTCCGCGCTCGCTCCTGGGTGCAGCGGTCCAGCCTGCTTCAACCCATACAGGAGCTGTGTTATTCTTTACAAGTGCTAAAATGTCAAAAGGATTGCAGGTTTCATGGGACTGGTTTCTGTAATAGTGAGATATACAGTACATTTCAGGTTTCTGTGCACCTTCAAAGTCATTCAAAAGGCACACTTCAGCAGTGTGGGGAAGGAGAGGCTTTTCATTGCTTTAATTGTAATTTGTTTTACAGGCACTCTGCTCTTTAATTCCATTCAATCATTTTACAAATTAATATTAGAAACATTGAAGATTTTCGGGTGCTAATAAATCTGAAATGAATTGTAGGGTGGTCAAAATTCCTAATGTCCATTTAGGGCTGTTTGCCCAAGAAAGTTTAGGAACTCCTGTCTCAAAGGTAATCGTACCTTGAGCCCCTCCAGTTCCTCCTCGAGCTGTCTGCTGAACTGTTCGTTTCTCTCTCGCAGTTTCTTCTCTTTCTGCACCTCAGCTGCCTGCTCCTCAGCCTGCACCTCCAACTGATTAAAACCAAAGCACTTAACGTTAGTTAAAGACTTTCCATTGCTTATTCACGCAACAGCTCACAGCTGGAGTAGATTGGCAAGGACTTGTTCACTTGTTCACTTTACTAGCCACTTTTTAGCGACATTCATTTGTGAAGAAAGCAGAGCAATTTAAAAAAGACGTTACGCTTTATACTATGCCTCCAACATCTCCACTTCTTTTACAGTGGGTGAAGGAGAATGAAAAATAAAGCTGGAGTAACAGACAGGATTTTTATACCACATTCATGCAGACATTGGTCATTTTTCATTTTTTTTACAATACAACAATAACAAACTGATTATCCCAAAGGGCTTTCGTGTATTCTGGTTCAGCCAATGTGATGTTGGCTCTGGAAGTCCTTGTTATTCATTCATTCGATCATTACTCTTCAGTAACTGCTTTATCCTGGTTAGGGTCATGATGAGTCCGCAGTCTATCCCGGGAACACCGGACGTGAGGCAGGAATACACCCTGGATGGAACACCAGTCTGTCACAAGGCACCATGCACACACATTCACACACCTAGGGGCAATTTAGCCACCTGTGATTGTGTCCAGTCCATGCACCAAAAAGCAAAAAAAACCTGTAGGAAACCATGGCCTTGTTAGTAAAGGTGAATAATCCTGCTTAAGCATTGCACAAGCAAGAGATTTTATTTTAAAATCTGGCAACCCAGTAGAATAGGTTACTTCCTCCAGCCACCCATCCATCCATTTTCTGTACTGCTTATCCTACTGAGGGTTGTGGGGAGCCTGAGGCAGGGGGACAACCTGGACAGGGTGCCAAACCATCGCAGGGCACAATCACACACACACACACACACACACACACACTCTATGGACAATTTGGAAATGCCAATCAGCCTACAACACGTCTTTGGAGTGAGGAGGAAACGGGAGTATCCAGGGGAAACCCTTGAAGCACACTGGGGCAGTGGTAGCTTAGTGGTTAAGTTGTTGGACTACTGATTAGAAGGTCATGAGTTCAAATCCCAGCACTGCCAAGCTGCTACTACTGGGCCCTTGAGCAAGGTCCTTAACCCTCAACTGCTCAGTTGTATAAATGAGATAAATGTAAGTCGCTCTGGATAAGGGCGTCTTCCAAATGCCATGAATGTAAGGAGGCAGACTACCTCCTCCTTTTTAAGCTCTAGGAACAACAGCGATGGCTACCAGATGGAACCAGGCAAATCAAAACAGGACATTTTAGGATGGCTGATTAAACTTGAAGTAGAGGAGATCCGCTCCTACCTCTTTGCGTGCTCTCTCAGCCTTACGTATCTCCAGCCGCAGCGTTTCCAGCTTCTGCGAAAGCCCCTCCACCTCTTCCTCCTTGTCTCGAAGTTGGCGAGCGAACCGCTGCTTGTGTGAGCGCAGCTCAGTGAGGCGCTCGTTCAGCTCGGAGAACTCTTGCATGGCCGTCTTTCTTTGACTGTGTGCCTCCTTCAGCTCCTTTCCCTGGGCCTTGAGCTTCTCCTTGGTGTCTAGCAGCTCCTATACAGAACAGTTCAAACATGTAGACTGTGTCTGAACATTGCTAACTGAATACTGTATACGTTATCACCTGACACAAGTATACAGAGTATCTATGCCTATACAAATAACAGTACCTATGCCTAAGGGTACTAAGGGACAGATTACAATAATGGTATATGGCAACATTAAACAAGGATGCACTACCTTGAAAAAAACATTATGCTAAACTACTGTTTAGTATTCATGAACAAGCAGCAAAATTTTCCAGTATGAAATTAATTTGCACCTTGTGCAGGCTGTCTTTCTCCAGTGTGACACCTTGGAGCTGCCTTTCCAGGGTCTTCATTATCTTAGAGGAGTCTTCTAAATCCTTCCGTGCCACGCCGGCCCCCTCAGACTGCTGCTGCTCCAGATGACCTGAATCTGAGACACACCAGAAGGATCGCACTGTTTAGAAGAGTGTCGCTTGGATCAAATATGTTGTATGTATGTATAGATCTGTTACCTGCTATCTGCTTCTTCAAGATGTCTATCTCACTCTTCAGGCTTCTTATCTCCACCTCTTTGTTGGCACCAGGTGGCACATTGGAGTTGGTGTGCTGCAGGGCCTGTACCGTCTGGGTGGACTCTGCGACAGGGAAGATGAAAATCACTAAGCATCGTACCGCACCGCACATAATTAAACAAACCAAAAGTTTTTTAAAAAAAATAAACCCTAAGAACATGAAGACGAGGCTAAATAAATGTTTACAGAATTATATAAATATAAAACCCAGTAAACGTTTTGTATATCGCATCCAGCTTGTATTTTCTCTTGCCAAATATGCAGAACACGTAGCATTTCTGCAGCTCTACAGCTCTGTTCTTTGGCTCAGTTTGGTCAGGTCAGTTTAACAGCTATCTGCTCAGCATCTGCTCACAACTCAACATACACGCCATGTGTGCTGCATGTAGTTTGGTCAATTCAGGGTTGAATCGCTTTCTCACTGCAATCGAACCACGCTACAGTTCGCTTGGACCCAAACCGAGATCACCTCGCTCACATGGTCATGGACCAGCTATTTCGGTCCACACGTGAGTGAGATTGCTGTGTTTTCACCTGTCCAAAGGAACCTACATCGAGATGGAAACTACCATCAGGAAAGCGATTCCGATCCCTGATAACAAAAAATTGCATGCCATCAAAACAGCTTCTTTCCACTGCCAATTTCTGTTATTAACCATGCCGGCTAGGCAGCATTCAGTAATCAGTAATTGTGTTTTTATGTACTATATATTGTTGCTATTATTTATTATGTATCACAATTGTTCCAGTCCACACACTTAATGCACCCTGAACTGCACCCAGCTGCTATTTCTACCTCCACTGTAATGCAAATTCCAACTGCGCTTACAATTTCCGCTTATGGTGTAATATTTGTATATTGGGTGCAATATTTACATACTTGTATATTAAGTGTAATATGTTTTTCAGGATGGTAATTGTGTTGTGTTGTCCGAGATGTGTGTGTGTGTGTTGAATGTATCGTGACTAAACACCAAGAAAAATTCCTAATCCATGTAAATGTATATGGCGAATAAATATGATTCTGAAAACAGACTAAATACTGCATATGTGAAAGCACCCTAAGGTTGACAGGACAGTGTAAGAAAAGTGCCAAGCGACTGGTCACAGTATTACACAGTCTCTGCTGTAATAGGTATCCTTGTGCTGTGGAGAGTAAGATTCAGTGTAGTTTTTGTGTAGTCGTAAGTATGGTTAGTTATTATATTACATGATATTTAAATATGTTTCTGCATCTGCAGTTGAGGACAGAAGATTACATACACCTAGGCACCTAAAGCTATTCAGTCTCAGTTTCTGACAACTCCGCACTTCTTCTGGCAAGTCTACTTTGTTCACATCGGAGGTAATTTCAAACAGAGACAGATTTATTTCAGCTTTAATTCACTATATGAGAATTCCAGTGGGTCAGAACTTTACATACACCAAGTTGACTCTCTCTTTCAGTCTGGAAGATTGTTTTTTTAGAAGCTTCTGAACAATTGTATGCAAATGGAAACACAAATTAACTGCCAGGGATAAACAAACCTTGGTCTGAAAGGTTCAGCTGAACCAAGACAACAGCAAAGGTACTAGTGAATGAGTTGGAGGCATCAGGTACCAAAGTATGAACGTCCAGCATTAAGAGAGTCCTACATTACTATGGCTTGAAAGGCTGACACGTAAGAAGAAGAAGAAGAAGAAGAAGAAGAAGAAGAAGAAGAAGATGCCCCTACTCTTAGACCAGCATACAAAAGCCAGACCAAAGTTTGAAGGTGATCCAAAGAAACAAATGGATGAAACAAAACTTAAACTGTTTGGCCACAATGAGCAGTGCTATGGATGGAGGGAAAAGAGTGAGGCTTTAAATCCAAAGAACGCCATCCCAACTGTGATGCATCATTTTGTGTTTTGCTGGAAAAGCGACTGGTGTACTTCAGAAAATAGACAGGCATCATGAGGAAGGAGGATTATCTAGAAATACTGAAGTAACACTTCCAGACATCAGCCAGAAAAAGTTAAACGCCTGGTCACAACTGGTTCTTCCACTAAGACAATGATCCTAAGCACGCCTCCAGAGTCGTAACAAAATGGCTTAAAGACAACAAAGTGAAAGTATGGGAGTGGCTTTTAAAAAGCCCTGACCTAAATCCCACAGAAAATTGTGGACTGAAGTGAAAAAGCATGTCTGAGCAAGGAGGCCCACAAACCTGAGTTACACCAGTTCAGTCAGAAGGAAAGAGCACAAATCCCAGGAAAAAGGAGTGTGAGAAGCTTGTGGAAGGCTACTTCAAGATTCAAGTTAAGCAAGTAAAAGACAATGCCACCAAATACTAAAAAAGTGTACTAACAAAACCTGAAATCTCTTAGCTATTATTAAAAAAACTCTAATGGAAATAAAGTAGCTGCCCTAATTGACTTAACACAGGAAATGTATGCAACTTCAAATGTGTGGAGCTGTGAGAACTTGAGTTTGAATGTCTTTAGCATAGGGGTATGGAAACAAAGTCCCAAAAAGTTATAGTCTGGATAGTTATCAGCTCTTTTTATTATTTTTTTTTTTTTGAAAAGAAAACATTAGAACCTTTCAGGTTCCCCCAAAATGGAAGAACCACTTAGAGTGCCAGATGTTGCTTTTTTTTTCTAAGAGTGTATATCTGCGTTTCTGCCCACCCTGGAGCTTGCGGCTAAGCTCAGTTTTCTCCTGCTCCAGTCGGCGGATCCTTCTTTCATAGGCCTCAGAGGCCAAGCTGTCCTCCAAAGTTCTCTGTAGACAGGAATCCACCCTTGAAGAGCCTCCAGAGTCTTTCAAACAGCCCCGGTCTGACAGAGAGCTACACACACACACACACACACATGTACACACACACACACACACACACACACACACACAGAAAGTGGCATCAGCAGAAGGACTGCTTCTGAACCAATACGCGACACTAATCCCAGCAAAGAGAACACCACAAGCCACACATATCTAATATCAAAAGGCTGTCAATTTTCGATAAATATGGATGCTGCAAGTCTACTTGCTTTACGATTATCATTTGAATAGTGAGGGAAAACTTGCACCCAAAAGCCACATCATTCCAAACCAAAGGCTATAGAGTTACACATAACTCAACATGAAGCTTGAATGTATTAGTCGTATAGCTGAGCAGCGGACTGTGCCACGCTGACAAATTCCTCTTTTATGATAACATGCTTCAGATCGTGGCAGATTTCCCTGAAGTGTTCTGAAACAAAAAATCCCACTCACTGAACACTTACCATTTGCTAGTGTAGGTGAAGCCAAGAAACGGGAGATGGAGTCCAGAGAAGGCCGCGTGGGAGGGTGGCGGCATCGTTTCCTGTGATAATGAGGCACTAATAAATCAAACGTTTTGAAATGTACTACCATAAATGTTTCCTAAAAATGCATTGCATCAATATGACTTAATGGCTCCTACAGTGGCTTGCATTTAACTCGCATTTAACTCGCTTGAACTGTTGCACATTTCGGTCGTGTTACAACCTGGAGATGAGATTGGGATTATACAGTATGTCGAATTTTGACTGCATTAATATTCACCCCCGTCACTGCGACACTGTGAGTCCAATTTGTGTGCAATTCAACTGTCACATCATCTCAATATACAGTAAAAACCTAAATACTTAGTGCATAACATTAAGCCACAAATTACAGAACAAAGTTCTGGAAAAACATCAATCAAGTTTTTTTTTTTAATAATAAATACTCAAAACATTGAACATCCTACAAAAGGGCATTGAACACATTATTAGAAAATGTGAAGTATGCGGCACAACAGGAGGAGGTCTTCCACCAAAGTTCAGTGACTGGAGAAGGAGGGGACAAGTCAGAGAAGAAACCAGAAACTCTGAGGGAGCTGCAGAGATTCATTGATCAGATGAGGGAATCTGGTCACAATATTGGACATTGCACAAACTCAGAGAAGACAGCCATTACTGAAAAAAAATCCAGAT